AGCAGATTTGGTTCTTTAGATGGGTTTCTGAACCGTAACTCATCTCTGGGTTAAATATCTTGAGCATCTTCAATGAGGGTAAAAACTTGTATATACTTAGATGTTTGCTAGCCCCTCTCATCGTCTGTTCCTTCACCTCTGTGCTGCTACCACCTCTGCAGTGCCTGGGGTTGGAGACCAGGGACTGGTTGGGCAGGAGCCAGGAGCTCTCTAAGCACCGGCCTGATGTGCAGAGCCCAAGTGCATTCCTGATGAGTGTAGCAGCTTACTCTTTGACCTGTATGTGATTTTACTGATTGATTTATTTATTTTTAAGCTGTAGCACTGTTTCTTTAGACAGCTCCTTACGAAATACTTTATGCAGGAAGCAAAGATTGTCCCTTTGTACCAGGTATGGATATACAGTATAGAAAGCCACGCTTTAATGTCTTTGCAGCAACCTATATTTCAATAACACTTCCCTTGTGTCTGCTGGTAAGAGTGTGCTATAAGGGTGCTGCTGTTTGACTTTGGCCACACCATCCCCCTTGCGCTTTCCAAGTGTCTGGCAAGTGGTAACACTAAATCTTGCAGCGTAAATAAACATGACCCAACTCTATAGATAAGAAATCAACACAGAGGTTAATTGCAGTCCCATGCTCATCTGAAAACAGGCAGCTACAGTTACTCGTCAGCAGTGGCTGGAGTGGTTGCAAGTGGCATGTGTTGCTGCACCTCTCTGGCTATAGGCAGGTGTGAACAGGAAATCTGGAGCATGGGAAGGAGGATGCTACAGCTCCCTGAGGGAGCTGTTTGTTTCTGCTATGGCATGGTTTGTGCCAGCTCCAAAGTGGGAATCAGGATTGCTGCTAAGCTAACAGCTTCTGCTCCTCATTGGGGCCAGCAGTGTTGGCAGAGTGCTGTGTGGGTGTGTGTTGCTTTTTGGGACTGGAAATAGCATCTCTTCTTGGCACTGTATTGAGCAAGCCTAGGTGGGGAGTTGATGCCAGGTAAATGCTGTGCAGTACTTGTCTGCAGTGCTGACTTGCCTGTGTAGACAAATTCTGAGGCTTAAACTCAGCATCTGTTCAGCTCGAGCAAGAGAACAGATGTTTAGTAGATATTTCCACACTGGTTTACCTTAAAAGTACAAATCATTCCCAGCAGTGAAAGTACTTCCCAACGTTGCTTTCAGTGAGCTTTTTGCACCTCTTTTTTAAAATGTAGGAAATGTCTCTTAATTGTCTTGTAGATTAGTTGAGTTTATGTATGTGTGTAATTTAAGCTGTCGTGGTTGAATGTATGCAAGCTGACTTTTGAAAGCAATATAGTTCCTGTATGCTTCCAGGGCTCAAACAGAGGATGGGGGAATGGTAAATAAATCCCTTTTTGTCTTGAGATAATTTCTGTAATCTAGCACTTTGATTTTCAGTATAAGGTGCTGGAGAACCTCCTGTAATTCATGTTGGCAGACTTTTATACCTGGTGGGGACTGCATGCAACCTGAACAACCATTACCCAGGAGATGCCTTCACCCACCATTTCCCCTGTTGTCTGAAAATCATAGAATCATAGAATAATTAGGGTTGGAAAGGACCTTAGGATCATCTAGTTCCAACCCCCCTGCCGTGGGCAGGGAGACCTTACGCTAAATCATAGCACCCCAAGGCTTCGTCCAGCCTGGTCCTATCACTACAGTCTCTAATGAAGAGTCCCTCTCCAGCATCCCTATAGGCCCCCTTCAGATACTGGAAGGCTGCTATGAGGTCTCCACGCAGCCTTCTCTTCTCCAGGCTCAACAGCTCCAGCTTTCTCAGCCTATCTTCATATGGGAGGTGCTCCAGTCCCCTGATCATCCTCGTGGCCCTTCTCTGGACTTGTTCCAACAGTTCCATGTCCTTTTTATGTTGAGGACACCAGAACTGCACACAATACTCCAGGTGAGGTCTCACAAGAGCAGAGTAGAGGGGCAGGATTACCTCTTTCGACCTGCTGGTCACGCTCCTCTTGATGCAGCCCAGGATACTGTTGGCTTTCTGGGCTGCAAGCACACACTGCCAGCCCATGTTCATTTTCTCATCGACCAACACCCCCAAGTCCTTCTCCGCAGGGCTGCTCTGAATCTCTTCTCTGCCCAACCTGTAGCTGTGCCTGGGATTGCTCCGACCCAGGTGGAGGACCTTGCACTTGGCATGGTTGAACTTCATGAGGTTGGCATCAGCCCACCTCACAAGTGTGTCAAGGTCCCTCTGGATGGCATTCCTTCCCTCCAGCATAACAACCGAACCACACAGCTTGGTGTCATCTGCAAACTTGCTGAGGGTGCACTCAATCCCACTGTCCATGTCAGCGACAAAGATGTTAAACAAGACTGATCCCAACACCGATCCCTGAGGGATACCACTCGTTACTGGTCTCCAGCTGGACATTGAGCCATTGACCACAACTGTTTGTGTGCGTCCATCCAGCCAGTTCTTTATCCACCGAGTGGTCCATCCATCAAATTGATGTCGCTCCAATTTAGAGACAAGGATGTCGTGTGGGACAGTGTCGAACGCTTTACGCAAGTCCAGGTAGATGACATCAACTGCTCTACCCTGTCCATCAGTTCTGTAGCCCCATCATAGAAGGCCCCCAAATTGGTCAGGCAGGATTTCCCCTTAGTGAAGCCATGCTGGCTGTCACCAAGCCCCTTGTTGTTTTTCATGTGCCTTAGCATGCCTTCCAGGAGAATCTGCTCCAAGATTTTGCCAGGCACAGAGGTGAGACTGATTGGTCTGTAATTCCCCGGGTCATCCATTTTCCCCTTCTTGAAAATGGGGGTTATATTTCCCTTTTTCCAGTCATCGGGAACTCCACCTGACTGCCATGATTTCTCCAATATGATGGCCAGCGGCTTCGCAACTTCATTCCCCAGCTCCTTCAGGACCCGTGGATGGATCTCATCAGGACCCATGGACTTGTGCACATTCAGATTTTTAAGATGGTCTCGAACCAGTTCCTCTCCTACAGTGGGCCCAAGGTCTTCATTCTCACAGTCCCTGCATCTGCCTTCCAAGACTTGGGTGGTGCAGTCAGAGCCTTTGCCAGTGAAGACCGAGGCAAAGAAGTCATTCAGAACCTCAGCCTTCTCCTGTGTAGCCAGTTTTCCCGAGAGCTTCCTGAGGGGGCCTACATTCTCCCTAGTCTGTTTTTTATTTGCTATGTACTTGTAGAATCCCTTCCTGTTATCCTTAACATCCCTAGCCAAGTTTAATTGTAACTGGGCCTTGGCTTTCCTAACCTGGTCCCTACCTTCCCAGACAACATCCCTGTACTCTTCCCAGGCAGCTTGTCCTTGCTTCCACCTTTTATAAGCCTCTTTTTTCATCTGAATTTTCCTCAGGAGCTCCTTATCCATCCAAGGAGGTCTCCTGGCCCTCCTGCTGCACTTCCTTCTGGTTGGGATGCAACACTCCTGAGCTTGTAGCAGGTGATCCTTGACTGTCAACCAAGTGTCTTGGGCCCCCCTGCCCTCTAGCGCTGTATCCCATGGAACCTTACCAAAGCAGTTTCCTGAAGAGGCCAAAGTCTGCTCTTTTGAAGTCCAGGGCAGTGAGCTTGCTGCACGCTCTTCTCACTGTCTGAGGATCTCAAATTCAAGCATCTCATGATCGCTGCATTCAAGGCTGCCCTGGAGCATCACATTTCCAACGAGCCCTTCCCTGTTGGTGAGCACGAGGTCAAGCATGGCACCTCTCCTGGTCGACTCCTCTCTTACTTGCAGAAGGAAGTTGTCTTCCACACCAGGAACCTCCTGGGTTGCTTGTGCCGGGCTGTACCGTCCTTCCAACAGATGTCAGGGTGGTTGAAGTCACCCATGAGAACAAGGGCCTGTGAGCATGAGGCTTTTACTATCTTTCTGTGGAGGGCTTCATCCGCAGGTTCTCCTTGATCAGGTGGTCTGTAACAGATCCCCACAGTGATGTCTCCCATAGCTATGTTTCCTTTAACCCTGACCCACAAACTCTCTGTTGACTGCTCACCTGTCCCCAGACAGAGTTCCATACTCTCCAGCCTATCCCTAACATAAAGGACAATTCCCCCTCCCCGCCTGCCAGACCTATCTTTTCTAAAGAGCCTGTAACCTTCCATTCCAACACTCCAGTCATAGGAGCCATCCCACCATGTTTCTGTGATGCCTATTATATCATACCCCCGCAGATGTGCACACATCTCTAATTCCTCTTGTTTGTTTGCCCACTTTATGCCTTCTGCCATGTGGGATTGTTTTTTTTTCTGTGCTCACTTCGTGAAGGTAGTGCTTGTCACTGCTCTTCCTAACAAATCGAATTGCTGTTCAATTTCTGCGTTCTGCAGTATTTCCAGTGCTGAGTTCATTCAAGGAGTGTTGGTAAATCTGTCCATACTTTCCTGACTCCCCTTACTCCTGGCCTGTTAGGATAAGCTTTTGGGCACCGGTGACATCCTTCAGGAGTAACTGGGCTGTGCTGGAGGCAGGGGAGTAGGGGGACCCATTCTTTGCAGAGAGACTGTGGTGTTCAGAATTAGAAATTCCATAAATGGGTTTTAAAATGTACAGTATGGAGTTTCTAATAGCTCTGTAAATATCTAGGACAGTATTACTTTGCTAGCTTTACAATATTATGTGTAGAGTATGTTGCGTTGACCATTCATTTAATGGGAAGAGGAGAGAGTGGTAGTATAAATATGCCTTTTAAATCAGCAGAAGAAAAGCTAAACGATGATGCAGCAGAACTGGTAAAGGGGGGAAAATGCCTTTTCTATAACTCCCTGAGGCCTGCAGAGGTGCATTCTGTAAACTCACATGGGAGCGATGCTGTGCATTTGATTAGCTTTCACTCATTTATTTAGGTGGTTTAATGCTGAAGAAGAGGCCTGGAGAGTTGACGCTTGCACACTTGTCATGTGCCTATTTCTTTTCTGCCCCAGAAGTAAGATGTTGTATTTAAATGATGAAACAATGTACCTCTGAACTGTGTGTTCTGGCTTTCTTATAGGCTGGTCCAGGGACCATCATCATGGCTTCAGGAGTCCAAGATTTTAGCAGAACGGAGTCTGACAGACTGAATGAGATCAAAGGTCACCTGGAAATAGCCTTATTGGAAAAACACTTTTTACGTGAGTATGAAATTAACACTGTGTGGAAAGGAATGGCTTAAGGCTGCTGAAATAAGGATTCTTTAAATTGCAAAAGTTGGCATCAGATTTTTGAGGTGGGCTGATGCCTCCCTGTGAAGAACTTAAAAGCATTCCCAGGGTTTCTGGGTCACTTGGATATTATTTTTCCTCATTGCATTCTTCACAATGTACCTCACTACGTAACAAAAGTTGCTTAGTTGAAGTCTTGATGTTGACATCTGCACATTGTCTTAGAATTAACTCAGTGTGGTTGCAATAGGTGTAGTTATTTTAAGAAGGTATGTCTGAAGGGGCAACCAACGCTTTTCCATGGCAGCATATTTCAACAGTAATATGTCTTAAAACACGTCTCTTGCCAGTATGTGAATTACTGGTAAGTGGTGTAAGAAATACAGATAAGAGTATCTGTAGATTTCAAGTGTTTGGGTTTATGTGTGTGTATGTGTGTATCTAAGAGTCAAAATTGTCATTCACAGCTTGAGGCACCTGCGGGACTTTTGGGATTTTATCTCTGCAGATCTGAGCTGCTGACTTGTAAGACAGGATAGTTGAAACCAGAAACACTGAAGGCAAACATTCCTTTAACTTGATAGAAGTAGAGATCTGCAATAAATCAGTGAGAATTCTTGCTCAGTTGCTTCCCAAAATTGTAATTTTAATGGCTTATTTTTGAACTTCAGAATATGGGGGTTGTTTTTATTATGTTCAAAGCTTGTCAGATGTTTTCTAAGGGATGGAAATAACAAGGCTATAGATACCATTTAATTTTGAGATTACAGTGTAACAAGAAGACTTGTTTATCTTCAGCATATTCTCAAGGATTTGGAATTAGTTTTCTGTGATTTGTTTGTCATTTGACAGTATTATTTTGACTTTTTTTTCCCCGTGTGTATGAGAGGGAGGTCTGATAAAGGAAACTGGGCAAGAATTTATAGTGAGCTGCTGTCAGCTTCCAATGATAACTGGAAGAAGTACCATGATTGTAATATCAAGCAAAAAACTGAAGGCTCTTGGCTTCACTTGCATTGTTGTTTTAAGTGATTTCTATGAATACTTATTTAACTGTGAAGTACAGAGTTACCATGTATTACTTCCATCCCCAAAGACATACTGCTTAGGCTCTTGTTACCAAATTGTTTTTCAAGCAAGATGGTACATTTGTGATTTCCTGGTATAATATGATATGTAACAGAAACAGTAAGACTTCCCAGAACTGACTTCTGGTTTGAACTAGGATGTGCTTTTTTGCTATAAAAACATGATAGGGTTCCCAAACACTCCCGTGGTTGGTGAGCCCATTCTCAGTCCTTAGTATATGCTTAGAGGAACTGTGTGGGGCACACATTTTTGTGAATATTTTTAGTCTTCAGGTTTTTACTGTAGTTTGAAAAACCTGATCAGCTGCTACCATTTTTAGCTGAATCTTTTTCCTTTGCACAGGCCTTTGTAGCAACCTGTGAGGTAAAGGGTAATGAAGCTCACTGTTTCACATGAACTTTGAGCAGATGGTTGGAGATTCAGGCCAGTGGGGTCACTCAGCTGGGTTGCATGGGTCAGTCCTTACCAGTGCTCCTCACTAAACTTGAGGTTTGCTGTAGCTACAATTAGAGAGTTGTTCTGACAAGTCAGTTGTAATTCTATATGCAAAAACACAAGAAAGAATGATAAACTGGTAGAGAAGTAAGCGCAGCAAAGCTTATCCATGTTCCCCTACACCACATTCAAAATTTTGGGCTGAAATATGTAACTATGTTTGTCAGTTGGAGTGAAGGAGGTGCTCACCTTTTGGATATTCTTCTTGTATTGTTCTATTTTCTTCCTCCTTCTCTTTGAATTAATGTTGGTGGGGTTTTTGTTTTGTTTTAGTGCTAGCAATACTTGGTTGGTTTGTTTGTTTTTTTTTTTTCCCAAAAAGTCAGCTGATGGCGAGCAGAAAAACATTCCTGAAACTTGCAATTTGTTTAATTTCCTTGGAGAAAAGCTTGATCATTATTTTTAAATCCAGCTGCTGTAGTAGGTGTGTTTAAGAAGGCTGGTCACTCATCTGTATTTGCATGCTATTTTTAATTATGGAATTCCTTAAGGACACCTTGCTGTAACTGCATTTTTGCATAAACCGTTTGCCATTTCCTCCCACTCCATTTCCTCCAGCTGGGTGTGCAAAAAATCAGAGCAACTGCTAGTATGTGGGGACAATAATTAAAGATCCATGGATTCACTTTCTAAGGTGTTAAGTTTCTAATAATTATCAGCCTGATCCTGACTTTATTTTTGCCTCTTCTATACCTCTTATTTGTATTGGTGTCTTATTGTCCAAGAGGCTTAAGGAGGAGAGATTTCCTCCCAGGTGTACATTGTGTATAATGTACACATACACAATGCAGTTACAAGTTAGTGTGGGTCTGTAGTTGCAGGTGCCTGGCTAAAGGAAGAACGAACTGCTAGTCTTCTCTAATCTCCATTCAGCCGTTAGCAGGCGCGAGTAAAAGGTGCAGTTTAGCTGAGTAGTATTTTCAGTGAAACACATCCTAGGCCTAGCTGTAGCCCCTATAAGCTGCAGAGGAGATCTGGAGCAAACAGTGACTGGAGAAAAACAGTTTGTCTCCAGTAAAGTGAAAATATCCCCATTTTAGATGCCAGATGAATCTCTTCTTTAGCAAAGATAATCTAAACACCCAGAGGAGTGAAGATGGAGAGGAATAGCTTAATGTGTTGAATAGCTGTAAATGCAAATAGAATGCAACTGGAAATGTGAGGGGTTTAAGCTGCAGACTGTCAGGAGGATGAGACGCATGGAGGAAGGGATCTTAGATAATGATGTCTTAAGCAAGGGAGGGATCATCTAACTCTTCCAGCCAAAAGGTCTGAAGTTGCTTTTCCTGTCTGTGCAGGAATGGTCTTAATCTCTGTGATCTAATGGCTCCTTCTGAGCCTTATTATGGGAATGCTATGGATCTGGTGAGACTGCGATATTGGGGTGGGTTCCTGCAGCACGAGACTTGAACACCTGTTGAATGGAGAGTGCACAGGGCTTCTTGGTCTGCTGGACCTCTGAATGTACATGGGCAAAAAATGCTTTGTCTTGGAGCTGTTGTCATTAGAGTCATCCATTTCTGAGGGACTTTGCATATTACTGTAAGCTTGTTTTTAATGCACAGGAATACTGCCTTGAACGGGGTTTAGGTTGGGAAGGCAACTACTGAACAAGGGCAGCTAGGGTTAGTAGTGAGTTTAGTGCTTCAAAACCTAGTTGTATCTAAACAAGAAACAAAAACTTGTTTGCTGCTTTTGCATTTGAAAAACAAAACAATAGCCAGTATCTTTCTGGGTTTGCACATTGTTGAGGTAAACAACCTGTTTTTCTTTGCATTACTTCCCATGCTTGCTTATGGAGGGCAGTTTTGCAGATATCAGCACTCTGGTCTTGATGCTTTGTAAGCAGGTGTACATCCTGTGGTTTACATGAAGTATTACGTAATTCTTATTCAAGGTTTTCCAGCCTTTTTCAATGCTAGTTTTAGCAGTTCAGGGAATAGGAGTTGGTTGTAACAGCAGCTAATAGTAAACAAACTAGATGACTGTTAGAGAAGGTTAGTCATGAACTGGTAAATCAAAGAAAGGCTGCTTGAGGATGAATAGCTTTAGGAGGAAATAAAGGCCTCTCCCACAGGGGTTTTGCATTCCATTCTGTATGGCAGGCTATGGCAGGAGTCTCAAAGGGTTTACAAAACTGCTGGGTTTGGTTATAATTTTTATACCAGCACTGCAAGAAAAGTTGGGATTGTGCTTCTTTCCCATTGAAATTTCTGCTCCCACACTTTCCATTCTCGTATGACTTTTTAAATCAAGTGTGTGACTAACTTCACAATGGCATCAATGACTGATGATTTTTTGTAAGAAGAGCAACCTAGCAGAATACAGAGCTCATGGAAGCAGAGCTCTAGAAAACTATACATGATCCTTGGGTAGATTTGGGATGCTAGAAAGTGGTAAACCTTAGAGGTGAACTGTGTGGTGGTGGTTGTGACCAGCAAAAGACCTGTATTAGAGAGTTCTGTTCTGTACAGAAATGTCAGTGCCTCCTTGAACAGTCACAGTAATTGTATGTAGTAAATTGGCTGTGAAGCTGAGTCAGGGTCTAATTACCAACTGTGTCACAACACCCTTGGTGTGCTTTCTCCTGACATGAGGGTCAGACACTTGCTGCAGGAGCAGAGCTAGGGGAGGGCAGAGGAACAGTGCATCGGTGTTGCTGTCTCATTACTGACCTGGCAGCCTTTTGTCACCTTTAGCTCAGAAATCTTGAAGCAGAATAAAGAGCTGATTTATGTAGCAAGTGAAGACCCTACTGAGAGAGTAAGTAGTTGTTGTGTTTATATGAGGTGCCCAGATACCAGCTGTGGGCCATAGTAGCCATTACTTGTTAGATGGTCAGCCCTGGCCAAGGAATCCTGATGCTGCCGCACAGGATCCTAAATGAAGCATGCTTATGCTGATGAGCATGAGGCTGCTGTGGTAGTGGAACTTACCCTTGCTTTTTCATACCCTTTACTCATCCCCCTGTAACCCTCCTTTCTTTCAGCTTAAAATCCTGGACTCCCAGGCACTAATAGGGTCCCTGGGAGATCTGCACACATCCCTTGAGCGTGTGGAGTTCCTCTGATGAGGACTGTGGTTTGTGTATAGTGACTGGTGGAATCTTCTTGAACATTTTCCTTGGGTTCCCAGAGATGCTCCAGTAAGAAGAGCTGAACCCAGGCTATTGCTGAGAGCTGTCTGTTCACCAGAGCTATGTGTTCAGCAAAGATGCTTTTGCTTGCTTTATACTGATAATTTTTTAAAGTTTTTCTAGGTCTGACTTCTCAAAAACTACAGAAAATTCCTTAAGAAGTTTAAGAAAGATTTTACTTATACTCAGAGATGCTTACATGATACTCCATGTGTTTTTTTTGTTTTTCCTTCCTGGACAAAAAAACCTC